TCTAGAAATCCCCTCCCTAAGCCCAAAGTGGCTTTCACTCGTGTGGAACAAAAGCGTATCGATTTAGCTGAGCTTTCTAGTAACTGGTTGCAAGCTGAACAGGAAAAGGACGAAGAGATTAGTAAGATCGTTTCTGATCTTCGTAACGAAGTTTTTCCTGAGGAAACTCGCAAAACCTACGAAGTTCGTAAAAACATTCTATATCGCCAAATTCAGCGTAACGGTCGCACTCGATGGCTGCCTATTGTACCTAGATCGCTTAGGTGGTCTGTTATTAATAACGTCCATGAGTCTGTCATGCACTTAGGATGGGAGAAAACTCTCGAAAAGATTTACGAACACTACTGGTTCGAAGGCATGTCGAAATATGTGAGGAAATTTGTGGACAACTGCATCACATGTAAAGTAGCGAAGCCCCACTCGGGTAAAGTTCAAGCAGAACTGCACCCGATTCCCAAGTTCAATATCCCATGGCACACAATCCATATTGACGCTTCTGGTAAATTATCTGGGAAGAATGACATCAAGGAGTACGTGTTTGTCATATTAGATGCGTTTACCAAATTTGTGCTACTTCGTCATTCGCTAAACATCGACACTAATAGTAGTATTCGTGCTATTAATTTCTGTATAGCTCTGTTTGGTGCACCGAAACGCATAATAGCAGATCAGGGTCGTTGTTTCGCAAGCAAAGATTTTTCTAGTTTCTGTACTTCTAATAGCATCGAGTTGCACTTGATAGCTGCTGGAGGCAGCCGTGCAAATGGTCAGGTCGAGAGGGTAATGAGTACGCTTAAGAGTATCTTAACAGCGGTAGAGACTAGTCGTGACCGTTCTTGGCAGGACGCATTAGGAGAGGTTCAGCTGGCCATGAACTCTACTATTAATAGGGTGACTAAATATAGCCCTCTAGAGTTGATGATAGGAAGGGTAGCACGACCGCTTAGTTTAGTAACCACCGATGATGATGATGTGACAGAATTTAACTTGGATGAGATCAGAGAGCACGCGACACAGAATATCAAAAAAAATGCCAATTATGATAAAAATCGATTTGACCGAAATAAGGCTCGGGTTTGTAAATTAGCTATCAATGATTACGTTTTAATTGAAAATGAGGAGAGGAATCAAACGAAATTAGATCCCAAGTTTAAAGGTCCTTTTAAGATTATCGATGTGTTAGATGGGGATAGATACCTACTAAAGGCGCTTGACTCTAAGCGAACCTACAAATACCCCCATGATCGTGTGAGGAAGGTCCCCGATCACCAAGTTCCTCGAGAATTAGACGTCATAGTTGATGACAGCGATAGTGAAACCAAATCTAATTAAGAATGGCATGTATACTCATACTCGAAACTGTAGACCGCACCTCATGAGTAACATGTGACGATGGGTCTGTAGGAAATCGTTGGTGCGATTTCTGTCTGTGTTGGTACACAGAGCCCCTCATGTGTTGTAGCATATTTGGCGGCAGATATGTAGGGAATCGTTGGTGCGATTCTGGCATATGTGGCGGCAGATATGTAAAGAATCGTTGGTGCGATTCTGGCCTGTGTTGGTGCACAGAGCCCCTCATGTGTTGTGGCGTATGTGGCGGCAGATATGTGGAGAATCGTTGGTGCGATTCTGGCATATGTGACGGCAGATATGTAAAGAATCGTTGGTGCGATTCTGGTCTGTGCTGGTGCACAGATTTCAATGAAAGTTTCACGAGTTGAGTATTCATTGCTTATGAATTATGGTAAAGAGTAACAAAATTGTCAGAATTGCTGTGTTGGAACTTGTTGATCGGGCCTTTCACAATAAATCATGTAGTGCAGGAAGCACTGTGTAAGAAGCCCTAATAATAGGGCTTTGTCAATCATGGCAGTTGATTACTGTACTTAGATTTAGGAGAAATAAAGTACCATCTGGAATCAACCTCGTTTTCGTTGGCAGGATAGCCGAGCTAAGTTATTCTCTGAGCATATTTTGTCCACAGGCACTGCACCCGAGGACGGGTGCTAGTCAGGGATGGCCGTGTCGTGGATTGATGGCGCCATAGTGCTACAAGCAGCGCCATCTAACAATTAGCTTTGCGAATCAATAATATCGTTACCGGAAACGCAAGCGCGCCCTACCGCTTGGACACGATCGTCGGTAGAGGGGATGCAGCGAGGGCTAGAGAAAGGACCGAGTGTTGTGGCAGTGGAGTTCGGACAGCCGGAGCGGACGCTCACTACCGACGCACGCGTTTGTTTCTCGTGTACAACCACTAGTCTAAATAAAGTTATTTTTGATTTAAATCATCTTTCGTTCGTGTGCCCACATTTACATAAAACCATGTCGGAGCGTGAAGAAAACACCTTTGACGCGACAAATAAATAATTATAATTGCAAGTTGATAAAAAATGCTATGCAATAGCTTTACCGCGGCAGTCACCGAGTGCCACACGTATTTTTTTTTAGTTTCTAAGCCCTAAGGGAACGCGCTGCTACCGGTAAAAATGGTCACCGTTTCTAGGGACGTAGCAAATATTTTATATTTTACGAAGATTGCGTACTTCAATGGTCTTAATATCTGACTATTTGCAAAGAAGCACGTTACCATTGCTCCCAAGTTGCTAATTCATCAAAAATACGTTACATCGAACACGAGAAAAAAAACACGAGGAAGTGTAAAGGAGCATAGAAGAATTTCCTTATGTTTTTTTTTATAGAATAGGGTGACAAACGAGCACACAGTCCACCTGATGGTAAGTGGTTGCTGCGGCCAATAGAAATCTACATCTATCCTCCATTAAAAATCAAAATGCAGATGCGTTGTCACCCGTGAGGACTGAGATGGAATGCCTCGTTTCCAATAAAAAGGGTCTCCGGTTCTCTACACTTACCATACGAAATACAGCAGCATTAAGCTACTATTTCACGCTTGTATTCTGTGAGAGCGTGGTCCTTCCCCGGTCGAACCGACCCATTCGTGCTACAACTATACTACTAATATAACTGCAGCATGGCTCTACCACGTTTGTATTCTGATTTAGAACGTATATTGCAAAATTACAATGAAATAAGGGCAGAATTCTTTTTGTCTTATCTATCAAGAACAGCAGTTAGAAACATTAATTATGATAGCGCATACGTTGCTGACACGAATTATATGTAAGCAAAATATGGGCTTGGCTAGAATACACCACTCAAGCACGCCTCGCATATTTTGATTCGTCCTTTACGTAACGTATTGTATTAGCGGAAAACCAATTGTGACGTAATGGAATTCTTAAGCATGGTTAACATTATGCCTGGTTTATTTTGAAGTCTTTATCGAACTGCTGTATGATAATACAACTTTATTGTTCTAAATTAGTTTCAACTACCTTTGTATTTTATTTACACATTATCCTATTTTATTTACGAAAATAAATTTTATTGTTCATTAAATAATATATAGTTAGACTTTTGTTGGTAATTATTTTCTTTTTCTTTTCAGTACATTATGTAGGATGAGAATTTGTACTTAACTGATAACAGCAACAGTTAGATAGTAAATTGGATCATAGAAATTAAGATTAAATCTGCCTTCTCTTTTTTAGAACTCACCATGACATTCACGGCTGCGGGGTGGTTTAAAAGATACATAGAAAAATAAAACAGGATCCAGAAAAGCAAGAACATTTTCAAGTGAAAAAGACTAAAAAAACATTTTATGAAGATAACTGAACTAACTGAAGAGTAAAAAAATGGCGTAGGCGATGACGGGAACGTAAAAAAAGTTTTATGTAAGCTATACCTTATAGTTCCTACACGTGACGCAAATTTCCATTAACGTCACTTGTCCTATTGTTGCTGTGAAATTTATATTAAGTTTAATATTTGTTTGGCACGAAAATTGCTTTAATTTAACTTTAAATAATTATCTACATTAAGACCTGTTATAATATTAATTTAAATAGCATATTATAATATGGAAAAACCACGTTAAACACTACATTGTGCAATAAGACGTACAGTAAAGTAGCGAAGAGGAACAATTTTAAAGAAAAAACTTTTTAAATTCAAATTTACTAATTATAAGTTTGTGATTTTTAGAGCATTAGTGTTTAAAAACGTTTTAGTAAAATTATAATATATTCTCTAAAGCCAACGAGTAAAAATAATTATTCAAACTTTGTGACGTAAAGGAACTTTTCAGCTGACGTACCATATTAAGATATAAATCTCTCGTTAAGTGAAAGACTTTTCACACATAAATAAGTATTCTTTTAAATAACATAATTATAACAAATGATGAAAATGAATTTTATATATTAATTATTAAAAATTATATTTTATTTCAGTGGAATTCTGGTATAATTTATAATCTGGTATAATAACTGGCTTAATTTAGTCCATTTAAACGTATTCTTCTGTTTTCTTCCTAGTCAATATACAAGAGAATAAAACATACTTTTTATCAAACTATTTATATAAAATATTACCGTATAAAGTGGGGTGAATAGAAACAAGTCTGGTCATTTGATTAAGTTGTCTGTAGGTTTGTATACATACGGGGAACTTGTATTAATTTCTACTGTTTATTATATGCTAACATTTTTTCTTGATTTTGGTAACCTTGAAAAAACTATAGACAAATTTATCAAATAACCAGATTTGTTTCTATCCACCCACAGTTTCTCTTTACCCTATTTTACGGTACAATATTATTATTATTTTTTCTCGAAATTAATTATTTTGAAAGACCCGTATAAACCAACTAAAATTGCCCAGTTATACCGCCGTTATCTGATATTCAGCAAAAAATTCAATTAACATAATTAATAAAAGAAAATTATACCACAATTCCTCTTACGTTGTTTGCTATGTTTGCTTTAAAAGTGAAAGAATTATATTATTTGAAAAAGCCCAGACGTTTGCTTGAGTGTTTTTTTACAGTCTTATAATGTAATTTATCACAAAGTTTTTTATGATTTGTAATATAATAAAGCAGATATATTTACCGCAATATAAAAATATATTACCTGTATACTGTACACCGCACTGTCATACAGCACATGGAAGGTGAGAAAGAGTGACAGCAGCGTGACTGATAGGAGGGCCGCAGCTAGTTTTGGTCGCGACACGCCCACCACTAACACGCAATCTGCTAATTCGCCTTCCGCCGGTCGAAACGAAGAACGTGGTAGCCATCTATAGTAATAATAACATAGAAAGTTTTATATTAGTTGTTGCATGCTTTTAGCACTATATTCATATTTGCATTTTCAAAGCGACCGTACTTTCATACAATATATTCATGGTTAGCCTGCTGTTGTATTTACCGAAATGGTACTTTTCAGTATTATATTTTCAGTCACATAGTTCCTGTATAAATTTGATTTTAATGCAAAGATTGATAACATACTGGCGATCCGCCCTGGATTCGCATGGGTAATCTCTTTTAATCCAATATATATATATATATATATATATATATTACAGGATGTTAGTGTTAACACCGTTATCCTTGAAACCAGTGGTTTGGTTTCACTTATAGAACGTAAATTCAATGAATAAAAAAAACGCTATTTTCTTTCATAATATTTAAAAAGTTTCTGTCCGACACCGTCCGTAAATTCATGGATACTCTATGCCCCCGATAAAACACAATAGGTACACGTAACTTGTGAAGTAACTTTTCCTTCATACTTTCACCCTGGCTTAGGACGGGCAAAAATTGAGGAATTAAGGAAAAATTGAGATTTTACGAGTACTAAAAATGTTGTAATTTTTCATTAAATTTACGTTTGATAAGTGAAACCAAACCACTGATTTCAAGCATAACGGTGTTTACACTAACACACTGTATATATATATATATATATATATATATATATATATATATATATATATATATATATATATATATATTTACACGAATAGGTCGGCTTGACAGGGGAGGACCACGCTCTCACAGAATACCGGCGTAAAATATCAGTTTATTGCTGCTGTTTTTCGTATGGTGAGTGTAGAGAACCGGAGACCCTTTTCACTGGAGACGAAGCATTCCATCTTAGTCCTCATGGGTAATAACGCATCTTTATTTTCATTCTTACCCAGGCATACATGTAGATGTATATGGGCCACAGCATCCGCTTACCATCCTTATTCTTTAAAAAAACTGAAATATAAAGTAAAATAGGTTTAAACAAAACTATTTTTTACAGATTCTATCGCATACATTAACTTATTTTAAATTCCCGACGTTTCGAACACCCATTGTCACGGGGGACTGAGGTGTTGGACGTCTAAATGTCATAGTTAAACGCGGCTACATTAAAATTAAAATTATTGATTTTTCTTCCCATCTACGCAGTATGAACTTATAGTATCTTGAAGTCTTGCAGTAGTGTTCGTTAGTTGGAATTTAATTTTATTAATTATAGAATCCCAAGCAGATGGTAAAACCCAGCCATCTTCTCTATTGAAATGAGGATGTTTTTTGATTTCAATGGTCTCGCGGATCATCCTTGGAAGACCCCGTTGTTCATTAGCGAGGATTTGTGGTCTATCAAATCTATGACTAAAATACCACATTTTATCCTAGCAATTCTTGTATATATACAATTGGTGTCCAGGGAGTTTCGGGGGCAATAAATCGATCTAGCTAGGATTTATTTTTAGAAAATATCCCTTTGTCCGTGTTTTCAGGCAATAAAAAACTGCTACGAATAAGAAGGTAAATTTTGACACATAACTAACAATAGTAATAGCGTCCTGTCTCTGGTCCGGCTATTTTATTTTATTTTTTTCAAGTTCCCTTCTTTTGTGAGAAAATCTATTATTTCATGCCCTTTTTTAATATTTTTTAAAAATACGAAAATTTTTATCAAACTAATTGCACTCATGATTTTTTGTTCAAATAACCAGTTCAGTTTTTTCTATTATGTCAATAAGATCAAAAAATATAATTTATGTTTCATTAGTATGTAATTTATAAATGTAATTTCAAAAAAAAAGCGAGCAAATCTCGGTCATCCGGGTACTGTAAGTAATATCGCTTCAGGATTTCCTGACCGCGAGAAAGTTTGGTCTGATAATAAAATGCGCACGAACAAATTAACTCCCAAGAGGAGGTCCACGTCACCTGGTAGAGCCCAGGAATCATCGGCTAGCGAAAGATTATTTAAGTGCATCAATTAAATAATCTTTAATGTTTTTGAGACATATATTTTCGTAAGCGGAACTTGACTAGTTATCTGATCCAAAACTAAGGCTTCTATTTTGTACTTAGGCTGCGATCTAAGTTAAAACTAAGCTGCGGTCTAATTTGTAAAATTAAATCCATACCGCAGAACTTCAAGGTACTATAAGTTCATACTGCGAAGATGGAAACAAAAATCAATAATTTTAATCTGTAGGCAGCCGTGGTTAACTATGACGTTGGGACGTCCAACACCTCTGCCCCCCCCCCCCGTGACAATGGGTGCTGTAAAGTGCTAGAAACGTCGGGAATACAAAATAAGTTTACATGTGCGAAATAATTCCTAAAAACTAGTTTTGTTTAAATGTGTAGTGTTCGCGTAAATAGGTTTTTATGTGAACGTCTTGTCACCTATAAACGTATTAGATGGATTGTATCTATATGATCGGCCGTTGGATGCTTACCCTTGACCTAACAACAACGTTATCTATACTCTATACACGTGAATAAAGTGTCAGTCTGTTATATTAAAACAACTGTTTTCTATGAAGCTCAGGGTGTTACTTGCATGTTATAACCGTTTTTAACATTTTTCTGTCTGTCTATCCAGCCTATTTTTCGTAATGGCTGAACCTTCTGAATAAAACTTTACGAACAAACAGCACTGCCAGGAGGAAATTAGAGTAAATTATTAACGAAAAACTTGAAGTTTTTTTTTTGAAAAACGAAAAACTGATAAAATAGTCTTCAATTATCTTTAATCTGTATGACGCCACATTTACAGATTCTATCCAGGCGAAGCTGCGGCGGATCGCTAATATCTTATAATATAGGTGACAGGTATATTTATTTATTTATTATTTATACTGAACAATATAGCTGGGATAGCGTGGGCCCTCTCTGGAGATGTGGTCGATTTATGAGCTCTAAGCCGATCGGTGTTTCTATTTTAAGTTTAGATGCGGCAACGTGTTTCGTCTATACTCGTGTGGGCTGATTATCAAGTAGCGAGCCGCAAGTATACTCTTACAAATTGTAAGTGTGCCTGAATTTATATATTCCATTTTAAGTAAGATTTTCAGTTATTTTCACTTTTTGTAGATGGGTACTTCGATACTAGGGGCACAGTAATCAGTGACGAGTTGCTTTCTCTCACTGCAAGGGGTAGTTAACTACCAAAGTTATATAGTTAAAGACCATTCATTACAGCTTATCATAAGTCCACTGCTAAACATAGGCCTCACCATAGAGTACCTCGTATGGGGGATATTACAAAGGAAACGCTCGTTTTTGGGCCAACTAGAAATGTTAATGATCCTTAATGTTATTACACAAAAAAAGATACCACATTATAATAGTAAGTGACCTATAGATTTTGTAAAAATCTAAGCGGAATCAAGAAATCTGAAAAAAGTAGTTTTTATCACCGTTTATCTTGAACCCCGGCATTATTGAGCCACGATATAAGGTATTAGATTATCTAACGACGCCACTGCAAGGCGCTTTTCGATACTGTTACGCGCTCAACGTCATACACTAGCGCCATCTAGTGTCAGGAACGAGAGCGAGGGGGAGCTTTGCAGAAAATGACATCACAAATCTTTACCGACAGCGCCATCCGAAGAACTAAGTTTCTAGAAAATCTACACTCGAACACTCGTCACTTTGCGCGCATTTACTTGAATATTCCGGATGCTTCATTATTAATTTGTATATATAAGCGCTGCAAGATGCGATCGGGCAGTATTGGATTTGGCGAGACAAGCGAAGCTTCGGAGCGGAATAAAGTGAATTAGTGTGTTTAATTATTAGTGTTTTAAGTTTTAATTTGTGTAAAGTAAATTAAAGTGTTAATTTAGGTAATTTTATCGGCAATTTTTATTGTCACGAACCTCAAGCTCGTAACAATTGGTGTCAGAAGTGGGATAAAATCATGCCGATTTTACCTAAGGAGGAAACGGAGGGTGTCCGTACCCGATGTCAACGCCAGCAGGAGACGGACCAAAGAAGATTTGGTGGTGCAACGCCGCAGACGTCGGAGGGCCAGCCACCGGCTGCAGGCCCGTCAGTAGCCCCTACATCTGCAGCACCTGACTTAGGTGCTCTGATGGTGATGCTGCAGGAGCAGGCTCGCCGACAGGAGGAACAGGCACGCCGATTGGAAGAGCAGCTGCGGGGCGGACAGGAGGAACAGGCCCGTTGGTTGAAGGAGCGACAGGAGGAACAGGCTCGCCAGCAGGAGGAACAGGCCCGCCGACAGGAGGAACAGGTCCGTCGGCTGGAAGAGCAGCTGCGGTGCGGACAGGATGAACAGGCCCGCCGACAAGAGGAACAGGCCCGTCGGTTGGAAGAGCAGATGCTCCTCACGAAGGACCTTCACGCTACCTTCGGAAAAGAGATACGGGAGGTGAACGATAAGGTTGCTCAACATGACAACCGATTGTCGGAAGCTGAAACCTGAATCGACCATGTAAACAATCGGGTTGACAACGTAATGGCTGAAATGAAGAAATCACTGGACGAACTCAAACTTGGAGATGGAGCTACAGCTCCCGTAGTAGCTACAACACCTTCGCTACATGGGTTCAAGGTGCCACCGTTCGACGGTACCTCTTCCTGGTCAGCCTACAAAATCCAGTTCGAAGCTGTTATGAAGGCGAACGGCTGGAATAAAAATCAGGCCATGACAGCTCTCACACTAGGCCTGCGTGACCAGGCCTTAACAGTTCTGGAAGCTCTCGGTGAGGAAGTGGCTTATGAGCAACTCCTTGAGGCATTGGAGGCGAGATATGGCGACGCTCACCTGGAACACGTCTTTCGTGCGCAGCTTAAAGATCGTGTGCAGCGCATCAACGAAAACCTGCTGCAGTGGGCTCTAGAAGTGGAGAAGCTGGTGCGAAAAGCATACCGGTCTGTAACTGCGCTCATTGAAGGGAACCTGGTGCAGACATTCATCGACGGCATCCGCGACTTGGAAGTCAGAGCTGCTGTGAGGCTCGGGCACCACGAGACGCTTCCGCCCGCCTTGGCCCATGCACTGGAGGTAGAAGCCGTGCGGCAGGATCATCGTTCCCATCGCGTCAGGGAGGTTGCAGCAGCTACAGTTCGCGACCGCAACAAAGGATACAGCCCTAGGTGCTATGGCTGTGGGGAAAAAGGCCATCTTCGATCCAGCTGCCCTAAGCGAACCGTGGAAAGGAGAGTTGATCGATCTCGAGAGGGTAGTGCAGCTAACGGCACTGCTTGGCGGCGACAGGATCATCGTTCACCTCACGCTAGGGAGGTTACAGCAGTTACGGTTCGCGACCACAATAAAAGATACAGCCCTAGGTGCTATGGCTGTGGGGAAAGGGGCCATCTTCGGTCCAGCTGCCCTAAGCACACCCTAGGAAGGGAAGGTGAACGGTCTCAGAAAGGAAGTGCGGCTAACAGCACCGCCCAGCAGCAGCAGGAATGCAACTTTACTATCGGACACTGCAGCGGGAAATCTCACGGCAACGCAGATGCATTGACAAGAAGACCTTGTCCTGAAGATTGCAACCATTGTAGTAGGCAAAAGAGTAAGGAAGTGGTAACCGTGAGGATGCTCAGGACAGACCACCTCAGCAACGGGTGGAAGGACAGCCTATGACATGCACAGCTAGAAGATCCGGACATCAAGCCAATTCTGGGATGGATGAAGGCCCGTGCTACCAAGCCTAAGTGGAGGGACGTCTCAGCGATGAGTTCAACCACGAAAAGCTATTGGGCCCAATGGGACAGCTTGCTGCTTCAGGATGGAGTCCTGTGCCGTAAATGGGACAATGGTCGAGGAGACAGCTGTCGTTTGCAAATGGTTGTCCCTAAAGCTAAAGTTCCGAATGTTCTACAGCTGTGCCATAATGGTCGTTCAAGAGTCCATCTGGGAGTTAAACGAACTCTACTGAAGGTCCGAGAACAGTTTTACTGGGTCCATTGTCGTGACGATGTCGAGGATTGGTGTTGTACATGTATAAGTTGTGCGGCCGTGAAGGGACCTCAGACACGTAATAGAGGAGCATCGAAATTGTGCAATGTTGGTGCACCATGGGATAGGACAGCCCTAGACATTGCGGAGCCGTTACAGAAAGGCGCAAGAGGGACTCCTAAGATCGCCCATGTGGATCGCCTGGTGCGTTATTATGAGGCCGATAATGCTCGGAAAGAGCATGTCTTAGGAGGGGGCAGTGTTACGCGCTCAACGTCATACACTAGCGCCATCTAGTGTCAGGAACGAGAGCGAGGGGAGCTTTGCAGAAAATGACATCACAAATCTTTACCGACAGCGCCATCCGAAGAACTAAGTTTCTAGAAAATCTACACTCGAACACTCGTCGCTTTGCGCGCATTTACTTGAATATTCCGGATGCTTTATTGCTAATTTGTATATATAGGCGCTGCAAGATGCGATCGGAGCAGTATTGGATTTGGCGAGACAAGCGAAGCTTCGGAGCGGAATAAAGTGAATTAGTGTGTTTAATTATTAGTGTTTTAAGTTTTAATTTGTGTAAAGTAAATTAAAGTGTTAATTTAGGTAATTTTATCGGCAATTTTTATTTTCACGAACCTCAAGCTCGTAACAATACTTTAATGCACTATAATGTATGCTTTATAGAAAAGAACTTTAAGGGCTTCCCATACTTACCACATTGAGCAGACCGATAAAAACACTACTTGGTAGGACTTGATTACCGCCTAGTAGCCTATCTGAGTAGGTAAAATCCTCTGACTTATTTCTGCTGCCAAATTGCAACGCTCGCACTGCTCACCCAGTAAAATTACAGGCTAATAGGTAATCCAGGCTTATTTTCTGCTATCAAGTACCATCAGGCGAACTATAATTCCGTTTGGAAATTTAGTTTTATAAAAAAAAACACGTTCTGTCAATGCTCTCATTAGCTGTGTATGAAATCAATTGGTAGGTTCTCGTCCCTCAATAAACAGAATATTCTGCGGCCAATTGAATTCGGTATCGAAATCGGGAAAAGGTTTTTTTTTTTATATAAGAGTGAAATCCACATTCATCACTGATTAAGAATCATAATGCTGATGCGTTGTCACCCCTGAGGACTAAGACGCAATGCTTCCTTTCCAGTAAAATAGGTCTTCAGATCTCTACACTCACCATACGAAACACAACAGTATTAAAGTGCTATTTTACGCTGGTATTCTGTGAGAGCGTGGTCCTTCCTCAGTCTAGCTAGCCCATTCGTGCTACAACCATAATATAGCTGCAGCACGGCTCTACCACGTATAGAAGTTGGCAAGTCCTTCACTACATTCAAGTTGGCAAGTTTAATTATGTATACCAAGGTATTATCATATACGCCTTTTGTTTTATTAAACTTTAATACATTACTTCACTTTACATAAGCTTATTTAACGCTTTCGAAGTTTCCAATTTTTCCTTTCATATTAACTTTCGATACCTTTTTAAGGTCATAGTGTGAACTTTGTGATTACTTTCGAGGGTGCTTATTAGTTATATTGCGAGTTTAATCTGGTCTGGATAAGAAAAATAACATGGCCCGATCTCGGTCGCGATAAACGTTATTTGATTATTATTTTTACATTACTGTGAATACACGAACGTGTTTACTTTTGACAAACGAGCATTCAGCTTACTTGATGGTAATTAAATGATATGGCCCACAGACTACTATCGATTAAGAATAAAAATACGTACGATTATTGTTACCCCTGAGAACTTATATGGAATACCTCGTTACCAGTAAAAAGAGACTGATTTTTTATATTCACCATACAAAATACAGCAGCATTATTTTGCTATTTCACGCTGGTATTCTGTCAGAGCGTAACCCTACCCCGATCATGATGACCTATTCGTGATGCGGCTATACAAATCTGCACACAACGAGCACAGAAATCGTAATAATAAGACAATAGAAGTCGCATAAACGCGTGTCCTCGTCGCCGCTATGATATGTTGACGAACATCGTCATAGCGGCATCATTCCATTCATCAATCCATCACGGCAATCATTTACCATTTCGTGATTTAGTTGCGCGGGGAACGTCGTACGTGAATTTATGCTATTATAATGGTGAACTGCAGCAAAATCAGATGTAAAAACTCATCAAAGACGTGTAATTCAACTAATAAAGGCATAACATTTCATCGGTAAGTTGATTATTTACTAATTATTATTGTTTTAACTAATTTTATCTATATGAATACTTTACTACGATATTTGCCTTTGTACACTTTCATTTATTACATTTCGTATTGTACAAATACCATTGCTGCTTTTGTTCTACCGTAATAGGCGACGCACGCTACGTGGAAAAACTCGCCAAGCAATGTAATGTGAAACATTAGATATCATTGTGCATTGCGTACATAGAATACTATATATATTGGCTGTCAACCTTATTTTGTACGAGGAGAGGCGTCGCCGGGAGTACACATACAAGAAATTACGTTGTATTATCACTACTACAAACCCGATTCGCTGTGTTGACAAACAGCTTTCAATACATATTTATTTGTAAATAGCGTGCAATTAGGCAATTGCTAAATAATTTTCCATTTGTCAAAACACATCTCGTGTTGACATTTATAAGTATGAATTGACGTCTTAGTGACGTTTTATTGGCTACACGGGCTCCGCCAACTCCCCCGTTCTATTATGTATGTAATTATAGTATTCTATGATTGCGTATATTTATAATACGGCTGCAGGCATCGGTCGCTTAATGCGTATGTGTTAAGATGAAGCGATACCCTTTTGGGAAGTAATCGAGCGCTAATTCATTTCTATTGTGTTATTATTACTATTTCTGTGGTAACGAGGCTTTACCATGTTAAAAAATTTAGAACTTCAACTACTATCAGTTTTGTTTGTTTCATTTTAAGAACTTTCTTCTAAACTGATACATTATTTCTATATTTTACTTTTTTTTTATAGGATAGGGTGACAAACGAGCACACAGTCCACCTGATGGTAAGCGGCTGCTGCGGCCCATAGACATCCACATCTATCTTCGATCACGAATCAAAATGCAGATGCGTTGTCACCCGTGAGGACCAAGATGGAATGCCTCATTTCCAGTAAAAAGGGTCTCCGGTTCTCTACACTCACCATACGAAACACAGCAGCATCAAGCTACCATTTTACGCTGATATTCTGTGAGAGCGTGGTCCTTCCCCGGTCGAGCCGACCCATTCGTGCTACAACTACTAATATAACTGCAGCATGGCTCTACCACGTAAGAAACTTACTTTACTTTACTAAGTGTCATATACTTTAAAGTATTTTTTATTAGTAACTAGCGGTCTGTCCCGGCTACCCAGGGTGGTATTGTACAACAGCGCCGCCTACTGGGTCCAACTATGCCTATAACCTTCGCGGAAGTACAATATTTTGAGAAAGTTTTACCGCAATCATACACGTGTGAACATAGGTGATACATAAGTGAACGGTATGTCAGCGCGTTCACAAAAAGAAATATAAACAAAAATTAATTTTCATATATTAAGATAATGGGTGAATTCCTATTATAAAATTACTTTCGGTGGTTTATAAAAATTATTGAAAGGTATTATAATATATCACGAACGACTTCATTTAAAAAATGTTTAACTTTTATACATTTTTAGAAGTGGAGGCATAAAGAACTTATTATGTACGTTAAAATACTTACAGTATATCCAGCGGCAAAGACTGTGAACAGCTCTTATAAGATGTCTCGGGGCGGTGATATTTCGAAGGCACAGACTGGTTCATCTGCGTACGCTCCATGAGGACCCCATTGACTATACTTTTTTTAAGACATTGTATTACTTCCGTTCCCCTTTATCACTTTTGTCTTGATATATCTTGAACGCTTCAACGTTGTGAAGTTGCTTTTTTGCTTGATTGATTTTGCATTCATATCCCATTTTCATTTTGCTAAATTTTAAACACATTCTGAAACAAGGTTTTTCATAATGTCGAGTATTATTAAAAATACTAAATTCGCTAAAAATGTCTATTTCAAAAGATTTTTTATGAATTTAACAATCACCATAGCACATACCATTTTGACACGTCTGCAGCATATGCACCTGTAAAAAAAAAGTATTTAAAATTGGTAGCAGTACGTGTTTAATTAAATTATAATTTATTTCGTAAGTGTAAGTTCATTCGGTATTTTATATCTGCCCGTTCTTCTACTACATACGTGGGCCTCCAGAATGTTTTGCGAAATAAAAAATCGATGATTAAAGTTATATAATGCGCCTAATCTGTTCAATTAAAATTTTCACTGATTGCAAGTTTCCTTCCGTAACAGTCGTCAAAGGCGACAATGAATAAAAGAAGCGTTTTTCTTCATCACTCAAAGTAAGTCAAACGTACTGAAATTTGATGTATCAGTCATACACGGTTGCCCACAAGAGCCTTTATAAATAAGTGAATCCGAAGTTTATCAATCAACAACGATTCGTTCGGTTTTAAATATTCTTGACGCAAATCCATTTTTCGATCAAACACTATATTTTAATCTAATTTGTAAAATGTGTAGAGAGACCTAACAATTAAAAATTCGGCTATTTACTTATATATATAGTATAACTTTCGCAAAACTTTCTGTGTGACCGTATCGTAAATAGTAGGTAGGGGAAAAAGATTTTTCGTATTTTGTTTGTAATTTAAAGAAAAATGTCTTCGCTTGTAGTGTTTGTATCTGGATGGTTTTAATATCAATACAAATAGGACATTAAGGGAAAGAAAAATAACAAGCAAGTAACACTTTCCCACCATTTTTCAAATGTTTTCCTGTCCGCCAAAATGAGTGAATCCAACGAAGAAATTCGTTACATTCCGGAGTTTTTTACAAAAAATGCAACTCAAGCCACGAAAAAAACATTTGCGACATTTATGGGCCTAATGTAGTGTCAGTAAGAGTAGCACAACGTTGATTCAAGCGTTTTAAGTCTGAGAATTTTGAGGTTAAAGATGCAGCTCGCTCTGGTCACCCTCATACGGATAAAGTCGATGCCATTTAAAAAAAAAGTGGAGCAAGATCGTCGTATTAGTAGATATATGAATTGACCTCAAAATAGTTTTGACTTATTTGAAAAAGTCTGGCTACACAAAAAGCTCGATGTTTGGGTATCACACGAGGTCACTGAATAATACTAATGAATCGTGTACTCATTTGCGATTCTCTATTGAAACGCAATGAAACCGAACCATTTTTGAAAATATTGATCACTGGTGATGAAAAGTTCTAAACACACGAATTATAATAAAATTTCATATTGCGAGGTGATAATAATAAACAAATATTTGTATGCGGATATTTTATGCGAAATATTTTAATGATTTTTAGGCGAAACATAGTGTTACTAATCATACCTTTTCCACCAAGTTTGTAACTTTTTACCTATGTTTTACAAATAAATTATTTTACATTATGCTCCTATGGAGGCCACTTGCGGCCCCGTAATCATTTATTAATTTTAATTACAGCCTATAGAAGTCAACTGCTGAATATAGGCCTCCTCATAAATCATTTCATAGTTGGCACGCTTGGCCGCTGAGTTGTTAACCTCAGTTTTGTACTTTGTAGTTGTTAGTAGAAAGACATCTCCTAATTTGCTTCCCTCTGTTACCTCTTACGACATCCATGGTACGATAATCCAAAATTAAATTCTTAAAAGTGTATAAGTAGGTACCAAAACTACGTCTAATAGAATGAAATAACCTATTTGATACCTAGGTACTATTTAAAACTACAGCTAAATAAAATAAAAGTTTAATTTATAATTAAGCTAATACTAAGAAATATTTAAACACTACCAAAATAACTATTACCTATTTTATAAAATAACAACCAAAGAAATCTAAAAATAAATTATTAAACGTAAGAGTAGACTAAAAGTCGCGCTGATATGCAAGGTTTGTTAAAATCAATTATTCTCAATAAGGTCGAATGAACACTCTGAACGTCTATTCGCATCAACAGCCAAATATTGTATAAAGCTCGCACTTTTTTTTGCGCCCGAAGCAATTAAAGGCCTACCCTATATGTAGGGAGGCGGAAAATGCATTACGCATACCACGATAGCCGGTCTATCGTGGTTATGAGGGACTCACTGCCTACCTGGGGAACCTAAGTGTTACCCTCTAAAAACCGCCTTTGGGGACTGGCAACTGGCTGTTTAAGCTTTCCTATGCCGTATCGGGAGCGACCCTCTTTTGGGAAAAGAGGGCGCAGGCGGCTACGAGCCGCTGAGGGAGTGCCTACGAAGGCAAATTAATTATGAATAATTTAATTTAATTAGAGTTGGCCTGAGCCGCCAGGAGGCAGTTCAGGTTGTTTGACAGTTTATTAGGCGGGTCCAAGTGAGAGTTTCTCGGCCTGCGGACTCGATAGCGAGAGGGGGGTGGGATTGCATAAGTAGCTGCCTCACGAATAAAATGGTTGGAGTGTGACTCTGAGGCTTTGAAGAAGTTCTCAGAGAGTTTTTTAAGAAATTGTTGAATTTTAGGGAGCTCTAGGTCCCGATGAAGGTCGGCATTACGGACGTACCAAGGTGCATTCGCAGCTCGACGACAGAAAGGTTTTGAACTATTTGGAGTTCATTAATAATTTTAGGGTCGGCGTGGGCAAAAATGGGGTCCGCGTAGGACATGACTGGTCGTATACAGACCTTATAAAGGGTACGCTTGTTTTTGAGGGACATTTTACTGTGTTGGCCCAACATACTGTTGAGCCTACTCAGGTAAAAACCTGCGTGACGGATTACTCTTTTGACGTGGGGCCTGAAAGTGAGCTTTGTGTCTAGAGTGACACCTATATATTTGGCAGTCGTATGCCAGGGGACAGGGGTCCCTAGCATACGTATTGGTGGAGTGTTTTTGAGACGGCGTCGTTTATAATCGAAGTGAACGGCGGAGCTCTTCTCCGGGTTCACATCGATGCGCCATTTTTTGAACCAAGCTCCTAGGTCGTCAACTGACTTTTGAATCTTGTTCCGTATGAAAGGTAGCGAGATACCATTGCAGTAGATAGCAGTGTCGTCTGCGAAGAGGGAGAGCTGAACACCTTTCGACGGGATGGGAATGTCGTTGGTGAACAGGTGACACCAGCTTTGATAGGGCGCTGTGAAGATAGCGTGCCTTCGTGTCTAAAACGAAAGGCACGATGCTTTAAATAAGAGGCCACGAGACGTACTAGACGATCGGAGAGACCTATTTTGTACAGCTTGTAGATAAGGCCTGTATGCTAGACTCTATCAAAGGCTTTAGCTATGTCGAAAAAGACCGCGATGGTCTTGTGACGACGAGGATAAAAACCGCTGAGGATATATTCCACAATACGGTGAACTTGTTGGGGACATGAGTATTGCGCTCGGAAACCGAATTTATGGGGAATGATAAGAGGGTCACCGTCTATGGGAAACAGATAGCGCCTCATGCGAGTTTGGATGACTCTTTCGAGGAGCTTGTCCATTGCCTTGAGGAGGCTAATGGGGCGATGACTGGAGGGGGAGGTTGAGAGGCTTGCCTGGCTTGGGAATACCAATCACAGTTGCTTCTTTCCACGTAGTGGGAAAGTAACTAAGGTTGAAGCAGGCGTTGAAGATAATAGATAAAAAGGTTAACACCTGCTCAGGAAAGTGTTTTAGGGCTTGGTTGGAGATGCCATCCGCGCCCGGAGCCTTTTTGGGCTTATGTCCTTTGATGAGGGATGAAATCTCATCATTGGACACAGAGATAGGTTCGGAGGCTGTAGGGGGTGAGTTCCGGCGGCGGACCTCATCCTCCAATGCCTGGACGTGTGAGGGGTCGACGGGTTGAGAGCTAGAAGAGCATTGTGCGGCAATGCTATCTGCAAAGCACTCAGCCTTTTCCTCGTCCTCGAAGGCAACCGTACCGCTGGGACGGGAGAGAGGGGGAGTGTAGGTGATAGCGTCTATGCGGAGAGCTCTAGCCATCTGATAGTACGCTGTATGAGATGGAGAGATTATTCTCCATGAGTTTACTCTTTTCGAGGTCTCGAAATTCAGAGAGGCGGAAATGGAGTTCCCGTTGAAGACGATTGGCCGTGCGTCTATATTCGGGGGTGGGATATTTTGCTGCTCTCCGAAAAGCAGCTTTCTTGGCTTTTAATAGGTTGCTAATATGTAGGGGAAGCCCACTATTGTTAGCAACCGGGACGACCCTTTCGTTCTCCTTAAGGCAGGATTTAATAAGGGTGGAGAGCGAATCGACCGCGGTATCGATTTTTTCGGGACTGTCTAAGTCCGACGGTAGGGAGATGGTAGAGTCCTGTGAGTCCCGAGCTTTAGAGCTAGGGACTCCTTGAATCCCTTACAATTAGTGAAGGTTTTCGTGTGTGTTGTGGGAGGCGGCTGATGGTCAATAATGAGGGAGACCGGTCGGTGATCGGATTCTAGATCGTCTAGTGTCTCGATTGCTCTGAGGTTGAGATAAACTCCTTGGAGTAACGCAAAATCTAGTACATCGGGGGTGTGATCGGTGTTATCGGGAAAGTGAGTAACACCGAGGGGACTATGGACGGTAATATCAAGAGACTGCGTGATATCGAGCAGTATCTTGCCACTAGGGGAGGTAGTACGGCATGTCCATTCAGTATGCTTGGAGTTAAAATCTCCAAACATAATGACTGAATTGCCTGAAGATAAAATAGCCTCAAAATCTTTTTTGAGGGGATGGGTTCCTGAAGGGATGTAACAGGAGGCTATGAGGATGGACTGATGTCCAGCCATAGCTAA